AGGACATTGAGGTGGTTTGATAATCTAGTCTTAAATGACCAAAATTGGATTTCATTAACCAGCTTTGTTGGATTATCCCTTCACTAACCACTCACGTGATCAACTTTTTTTTTAATTTTATTGTTTTATTTTTTTTATTTGTTATGCATTAAAAAAGGCAATGGTGCACACTGTGAAAATAAATGAAGTTCAGGCCAATTAGATCAGGTATAAAATTAATTTACACTGTGAACGATGGAGCAGAATGTGCCTCTAAAAAATATTTATGAAGTAGTTATTGTTCAATTCTTCACGGTTGTGATAATTAGAACATGAGTGAATTAATCAAATGGTACTGAATGTGTAAGCAGTGCTAACATTACTTTATCTGTTCTATCAAAGGGATTTAAAATGTTTGCAGGTTTCTTAGGCAGTGATTTAAGTGGTGAAAAAAGAAACACGATGACTACAACTGTATTCTAATGATCATGTTGTAAATGACTGAACGATTGGCTCAGAATATCATGGTTTGAGAACTGCAGTGTCACTATTGTTTTCCATTCATCTTTATTTTACTCTTCATTTTTGTGCATGGGAGCAGTGGGGGTTATGGATTGTGACAAAGTGCGAGGGTGCAGAGGAGGTGTGTGTGGGGTTTCTCCATCCTGCCTCTGGACAATGATCTTACCTTGAATGTGGACATGGCGGGGTCCCTGTTATACCTGTCTATGGTGTGGAACTTGGACGAGTGGTTGAGCTCATGGTACAACTCAGAATGTCTTTTGCGAGTGTGCATCACTTTCTGAAAAAGGAACAAAAAAAAAAACAGGAAGGGACAGCAAAAATGAATAGAAACTAACAAAACGAAAGAAAAAGTAAAAAAAATGGAGGTCGTATGACAAGGGTTAATGTACGGGGCGGACAGGAGAATGAGTAAAAGGCTGAGGGACTGCAGCAATGCCAGCCATGAAGAGGGAGTTAAAAAGGGAAGCGGACAGATCGATCAATCAGTTGCTGATTCATGCTCATCCACTTTCTCAGTATTTTAGAATTTGGCAGTTGGCTTGGTGCAGAAGAGTCCTTCAAATGGAAATTTGGTTACATTTACTGACAAACATGCCATTACAGATGGCGTACACGCCGCACATATTGGCTCCTACTAAAAAACAGGGATGTGATAATTCCAGGATTTGTCAAACTCTATGAAAACCTATAAACAGGCAGCAATTTAACCAGCCAACAATATATTATAACAAAATCCACCAGAATCCGTTTACTGAAGAAAAAACGAAAAAAAAAACTTCAAATCACAGTTTTTAAGAATAATATGTATACATTTTTGCGTCAAAAGTCGATAATTTCAGACCTGCAGTTTCCTCTCAGTGCATTTATCAGTGTGTGTTAATGGGCAGAGCTTTTTCTGCAAAGGTATTGGCTAATAGTCAAAGCAGTTTGAGTTTAAAAGGAGCACAGGGCAAGATGCCAGAGCTCCTACCCTCCCATTTAATCACGACTACTAGAGCTTAGCACCAGCTCCAATTACTTCAGAAGGGGCACTCTCATGTTGCTATTTTATTTTTCTTTTGTAAGTCCCTACTACCTCCTTGTTAAGTGTAATTTATATATATATATATATATATATATATATATATATATATATAAACATCCAGAAGGAGATTGCCAAAAGAACCCTTAGTAAGGATGCAAACACTGTTGATGTCCTAAAAGTTGGACCGAACTCCTTCTGCTTCTGCAGTCAAAGGACAGTAGAACTTAAATGTTGCAGTAGTTCCATTGTTTTTCAAACTTATTATTTGCAAGCACCGGTAACTTAATTTGAAGTGTAAATATTTTAGTTCCGAATGTTTCTTTGAGCTTTTAGAAAGGTTCTTCCTCTTTGAAAATTGTAGCCACAGACGACTCACCAGAACCTTTGCCATTCTGTTAAAATAATCTGCAATTATTCTTGCTACTGGCCGGCCATCACTCGTACCCTCTGTATTTAGAACTTGTCTCCATGATGGAAAGTGAATGGCCAGTCTTCATACAAGTAAATAAAAATGAATGCATTACTTTAAACAAAAAGCGCAGCAAGAGTTATATTTTAATGTGAGGAGAGTTTGATAGAGACTGGAGATTCACAAGACAGCCGGGTCATTCTGACACAAACACTCTACCACATATTGTCCTACAATTTTATTCCAATCTGCAAAATCAACTGAGGGCACACACTGTATGTTCTGACCCAGAACACACTAGAATTCAACCAGACAAGAAGCACTCTGCTGTTTCTTCAACCAAGACCCCTTAAGATGTGACACTTCTGATTGGATTGTGTATGTCAGTTGAACTTACATTTTATTTTATTTTTATACTCGTTCTTTCTTATTACAAAAAAAAAAGTTTTGAAGCAATGTTTGGAGAAACAGCATAGAAGAGCTCTGGAACAATTTGTATCTCTAAGTGCAGGGGAGACATGTACAAAGGAGGGCGGTTAAGCAGTGCTTTTTGCTCCTCTACGTGTTACTTATGCCCTGGCAGAAGCACAAGAAAGCAGAGACAGGCTGATGACAGGGGATGAGGTCCGACATCTTACCTCAAAGTCCAGCTCAGAGTACCGTACTCTTTTCCTCTGGAAGAGGAGGGGCAGGGGGAGAGAAGACAGCATCAATGACTACCCCTTGATCCCATTGAACTGTTGCGATCTCAATCTTTTTTGTGGAACTCTCAGTTCCATAGTTCAGTGAAAAGAGCAGGGCTTAAATGTACGAGTTGCCCAACATGGTGCAGATATTACAAAATGTCAAGGCAAGAAGCAAATTATTTCAGTTGAATGAGATTAGCAACATGAAATATAACCCAGAATTATAGAGATAACCGTTTCTTGGCTCATGTAATTTCAATACATTTACTCCAATTTTGGCAAATCCTCCCTTTTGCTATTTTTCAAAGTTGTACTGGAAGCATTCTGCTTAAGAGGAAGCTGCAAAAAGCAAATAAGAGATGGTTTTCATTCCTTGATCTTGTTTGGAACCTACTGCTCTCACTCTAAGTACCTCCACAGCTTTAGCAAATGGCACACAAGCTGCCAATTTAACAGCTGCAGACATTTCCAACTCATCTGGCCCTCACATTGCGCTGGATTGCATTCCGTTTCTTTACTTTCTATCTGGCTCTCGCTGTCTGGGACATTTGCATTTTGCACAGAGGGGAGTAGCTCTCCACAGTTGGTTAAAAGCTGTATTCATTTCTTGGAAAGGGTAGAGTTGCTGATCTGATACTATGGCAGACAGGGACCGAAAGAAAAAAAAACACTCAGAGGAAGCTCTCTCCCTGAGGTGTCCTACTCATATTCTGCATTTAGCTATTAGAGTTTAGAAAACTAAATGCAATTACATCTGCCCGCCACCCCCATTCTACGAAAAAAAAAAAATCCTTACCTTACAAACAGCCCTTCTATGATTGAGTTGTGTAATATGAAACTTATGCAACATGCATATACAACGGCTGTATATTGCATGTTTTGGCCAAGGCACACATGAAGCAGTCAGTGACTCACTCATACAAAATACAAGCACAATCAGTTCCTTTTGATTTGATGTCATAGTAACACGTTTTTTCATTTGTTCACATGCACAAACAGATTCTTGGAAGAATGCACTGTTTATATTTCAAAATTTCAAAATGTTAAAGGGATTCGCTTTTGAAATGAGTGTCTGTGGAAAGACCAAACATTTATTCAATTTGCTTACCTGTTGTAGACAGATCTTTGACCAGCCTCGATTGAGAGAAATAAAGTTTACATTTGACATGATTGGCAACTTAATGGCTTGTCAGAATGCTACTAAAACTAAATGGAGCTTCTGCAAACTTAAACCAACTCCAATTTAAAAAGTCTTAAAGCAGTTCTTGAAACCTATAATTTCTGAACATTTACACCACTGTCAATTGTACATTACGTAAGTACACAATATACTTAGGCAATTTCCAGGTGCAAATGATAGTGGTAACAACAAGTTTTACCACTTCCAGGGCATCCAGGGGATATTTCATGCAACATATATCCTTTAATCCTTTACATTGTAATCGGTTTTGCACCAAATAATTATGTGATGCAATACATCAAAGCAAATTAAAGCAGTGGTGCCAGAAGTGGCCCTGGATGATTTATAAGTTATTCAAGTAGGTGCTGCAGTCACTTTTTATAGCTGTAAATATCCATAAACTTATTTGCCAATGCATAAGTTTCAATGTGATGAAGAATTGACAAAAGCGAAAAGATTTATAGTTTATTTGTACCATAAACCCTGGTAAAGATTAGAGTTGCTTTAAAACAGAAGTGGTCCACTTTATTCTATATGCTGCTCTGACAAGTCATTAGTAGCTAGTCAGTCTAATCAGAAATAAACTCTGTTTCTCCAAACTGATGTCATTCAAAGCATTATCTACAAAAGGTAAAATAGTAATTAAATACTTGTGGACAAAAGGCCACTTTAAAATTGATGAAGTGTGCTTTTCCTTGGAAAATAATAATTGGCTTCTGAAGCTTTCATATGCCCTAATTGATCCACTTCGAGTTCAAATTGCCAAGCTTATGACACAAAATCAACAGTGAGGTAAAACCATAAAGTACGCGTGTGATTCATCCATTCCATGTCACTATACAGTATTTAAACTGTGGAGCCAAACACTGCTGGGATTCAATCTTAAGAGGCGCTCTCTGCTATCAATCTTTGAATCAAGCATGTTCAAACCAGATGATATTAGAGCAATAAGTTACAAGTAAATTATATTCAGCAGGTTTCTTTCAAGATTATTCTCCCCCCCTTAGGTATTCATGAGTGCACTCGTACCTCTTCTGACAGTGATTCTTTATGAGTTTTAATGACTCCTCCTCAGACCCAAATGAGGCATCTGCAGGTCTCAGTGAAAGTGATGTTTCCATCTCTTTAATCAGCCTTTTGAATCAGCGAGATACCATTGGAGAGTGTATTCAAGCTGTCTGTGTTTATGAGTCCATGTTACCATGTGGCTGTACTTTACGTATGTATAACAATGGTTGTGTGTGTGCTATGTTACAGTGGGCTGAAAGACATTCACCTAGGGTATTGCCTCTGATCCTGTCAGTCTCAGTCCATCTGCTGTGCCACCTTGAACGGTTAGAAAAGGGTTTTGCACACAAACAGCTTCACACTTGTGTGGAGACGGTAAACTAATAAGAAGCCGTCTGTCATTACGAGAATGACTCATTTCAGCACTTGTTGTCTCAGTCAGCAGCAATAAATACTACTCAGCTGAAAATAGCAGCAGCTGTTACACCAGACTTGTTCTTAGGAACACATGAGCGGTATTGTCATTGTGTTTGGTGTATGGCTCTTGTACATGATAGACAACATGTCTTTAAAACTGTTGTTTCAAAATTTAACAATGACAGTGTTGGTTCAACGCAACACATATTAATTCCATTCAATTCAGTTTATTTATACATTATAGCGCCAAATCACAACAAATGTTGTCTTGGGGCACTGTACATAGAAAAGCCAATTTGTAAAGTTCTCTAAGGAAGCCAGCAGACTCGTTGAATCTTCACTTTGTTGTAATCGCTCATCCTGAGCAATCACAAAAGGCAACAGTGGAAAGGAAAAACTCCCTTTTAACAGGAAGAAACCTCCAGCAGAACCAAGTTCAGTACAGTTAAAAATAGAAAAGACAAAGCTTACTCTTATGGAAGCCAAGCAAAGCTGTACCTACATTTTTATTTATTTATTTTCAAAATTACAAGTTAACTATTTAGTTATCTCGAGATAAATGAGCAAGTTCAATCTTATTATTTTAAGTGTTTCATGTTAAAAAAAAATTAAAAAAATGTATTAAAACTTTGAAAATGCAGTGAGTAGCCATACTTATTGCGAGGTGAACTCACATGCAAATCACTCTTCCTCATTCACTTCTGAGTGGTAATTAGGTTTGTTTTCCCATTATCTTGGCGACGCAAAGTTTATTTTAAACTTCACTCTTGTTATCCTGAGATATAAGTGCATGCATAACAAGATAACGTTGTATCTCAAGTTAACATTTTGAAAACACATTTCTAAAAATGTCCTCTCACAACGTCTAAAAAAAATCCCTTTTAACACATTATTTGTCATGATATACCACATAGTGTATGCTATGTTATATGGACAGAGTAATGGCGTAACTATCTCAAAGTGGGATGAAGGTTTACTTTTCAATATTCATATCAGCCTGTAGTTGTAATGTTTTTTTTGTTTTTTTTTTTACTGATGAACATTTGCTGCAAACTGTCTCATTTGCAGATATTTGCTTTCTTGCATAGATTGAGTCTGACATTTAGTAATTGGATCTAATTTCCAGAGTGCTTCTTCAACTTCCATCTATCACTTTACTATCACTTAAGTAGGCACACCACAGTATTCTTACTGTAAAACATCCATTTAGCTGAAAAGTGTGAAAAGCTCAGCTGTTATCTGGAACCCTTCCTTCCCTTTTCTCACCACCTCTTACCCACCTCTAGGGATCCTGCAGAGAGGCTGGTGTTGGCGTTGGTGCTCCCCAGATTGCGTGGCAAGGTTCGGGTTCTCTCTACTGTACTCCCCCCCGTCAGAATCTGCCTTACTGATGGCCTCTGGCCCGGCTTTAGATGGAGTGAATGCCCATGAGAATGCATGTGCATTCCGTGGGAGTGCACATGACTCCCCTGAGCCATCAAGTGTCCATGTCCATGGGGCATGGTTTTTATAGTCCCATATGAGCGATTTAGGTTCATAGTGATGTTCATGTCGCCCACGCTGGATGGCACAAAGTCCACCGGATAGGCCTCGCTCTCTGCTGGGTGGAGGGTCAGAGGAGAGGGAGGTGGGGGAAAAGGAGGGTCCTCCACTGCGATATTGAGAGGCTTGTCCTCGCCACCCAGTCCAAGGCCTCCTCCTTGTGAAGAGGGCACAGGAGGTTTAAGACTGACTGTCCTACGAGGTAAGACCATGTAATCTCCCTCTCCACCTCCGCCACTTCCTCCTCCCCCTCCACTTCCTCCACTTCCTGCACTGCCATCCTGGGAGTTGTTGGAGGAAGTGGGTGGTCGAGCCCAGCCCAGGCCACTCTCAGTACACAGGTAAATTGGAGCGGTACTGCGTTGCTGAGCCGACTGTCTTTGCTGATCCAAGTTCACCTCTTTCTTCAGGGGCGACTCGTTGAGCTCATTGAGGCCTCCTAAAGTTGGAACCTTGATGAAAAAAAACAAAAAAACATTTAGGGACAATTAAAAAAAGTTCCATTGTTTCAGTCTTGCATCCAAGTATTTAAATTATTGCTTTGAGTTGTGATTTATTTATTTATTTATTTTTTGTCTAACTTTAAACAGGCAAGCTAAGACATTCAATCCTTTTAATATCTACTCTGTCAGTAAGTATTTGATTAGAAAGATGAGCTGCATGTACCTGTACAATGAGGTTTGGAGGTGGGATGTTACCAGGGAGAGAGCTAAAGTTGATCCCTACTCCCCCTTCCTGATGGGCTGCAAGCTTGGGATCGTCCTCGTCATCCAGGGAAATACGAGACAGGGTTCCAGTGATGGTGGCTGGGTTGCAGGTGTTAACCTCTTTGAAAATGACTGAAGAGAGATGAGGGAGGCACAAGGAGTTGAACAAACAGGAACACAGTTCAAGTGTGACATGTCCAGCGAGGAAGAGATAGAGTAGCAGCAATGAAGATTTTACAGGTGGGGCATTACATGAGCGAAAAATAATAAAACTATTTAGAAAATTGATTCAAAATGAACAGAATGAATTTTTCACAAGTATTAATAGGAGAAAAAAAATAATTTCAACTGAGAGAAATGGTACAAATTAATATCAGATTCAAAAATAATTTACATCCAATTGAAAGTGGGGATTCAAATTACATCACCAAAAGTATATTTTATATAACAATCAATCAGTCAACCAATAATTAAACAGAGCTTTTGAATTTTACAGTATCCAAGATCATTTAACTTTTCCTTGCAATATTACCAATTACTGGGAATTCTAGCTCTTATAGTGAAACAAAAGCAAACGTGTTTTCAGCAAAGAGAAGCATTTTTGTTTGTTTGTGAATAAATGCATATTTCACAGTTGATGATGTAGCTTTAGATTTGTTTCCATGCAAAATGTCCAGGATAAACAGTTATATATGGTATACATGTCCCTAACAGCTACTGTAAAATGGTCTCAAGCTGTTTTACCACTTTTAGAACTGTGTGAAGGCATGATGTGACTTTAAGATTTAAAGGGACAGCCCCCAAACTGCCTGGAATACTCTGAATCTTTGATCTGACTTGCAAAGTTGTATTGAAAGTTAGCAATGTTAACTATAAGTGTGTAAGATCAACAGCTATCAGCAGGAAGCTTGGTCAGAACACACACTGATGTGAGGGCTACCCTTAAAACAATACCTGCGTGTTCCAAATGTGGAAAACAGCATCATGCCATGCCTTTTGAAAAGTACAGTTTTGGGAACTAAACTCAGTTGAGAAGACAAATAAAATGGAAATTATGAAAAATGTTACATTCATGTTAAAACTCATGCTCAATTGAATATAATGAGACACAGCTATATTAAATGAAATGCATACAATACACCTTGGGACACCAAAACCCAAACCAGTATTATAAAAAATAAAAAATATATATAACAGAGCATTTCAGCTCAAACGGCATAGATTTATCCAAATGTAAGACTTTATATCTGATTAAAAGTTCTGCAGTTCTGATCTGTCAATGATTATACCAGCAATCAAAATGGCCAAATGCTAAAATCTGTCTCTGCTACTGGTGGGAATCATTTAGACTGGACAAGTTTAATGAAATCAAACCCATGTGATATCTGCATCAAATAGCATGTGCATCAAAAAAAAAAAAAATAGAATTAAACCAAAAAGCTCAAAGTAAGACCTACAGCATGTAGGAATCTGGCATTATTACATTTGTTTCAATGTGACGAACTGTCATGGTCTCTATGGCATAATGCAACAGTTAATAAGTCCAAAACTAAATAGTAATTTTTATCAGTTTGGGAACAATGCTAACTATACTTTGTGGAAACGGGGAGGAATAAAGCACTTTGAAACACCTCACTTTAGACAAATACAATTTTAAGTTTGTTTAGATGGACAAGTTAAGTGAGCGGGACTAAGAAAAAAGTGGATTTCTTCTGTTTTTTAAATTCTCAACTTCGAAACAAATAAACTATTTTATAAAACTTACATTTCCAACTGTGATGCGTTACATGGGTCAACAAAGTCCATGCTCACATGGGTCTTAACATAACTCTTTGAATACTTGCAAAGGCAAACAGTGACAGCAGCAGCTAGCTGTAGCACTTTAAACAAGTGTATCGTTATTCTATCAGAATAACAAGGCAATGTCAAAATGTCAGTGGTTAAAACTTTATAAAATAATTCAACAACGTTAAGTCCAGTCCTCTGGACAGTTTCTTTCCTTTTTTTTTTTTTTTTTTGAGGAGACATTGCGTCCTTCATCCAAAAGACTTCTTCAATCTTAGGATCCACCAACAAATGAGTCTCCCAAGCGACACACTCCAATAGTAGGGGAAAAACAAATTAAAACAGTTTACTGGTGATACAAATGGTTAAAACTTTTATAAAATAACCCAACAAAGTTAAGTCAGGTCCTCTGGACAGTGTTTTTTTTTTTTTTTTTGTTGTTGAAATGTTTCATACATCAACAGTCTGCTAAGATGCTAATCTTAGCACCTTAGCATCTAGATCAAAGTGGTTGACCCACTATGTGAAGGTGTTTTTTTACAAAGTACAAAACTGAGTTTGTTGCAGCTCCCCAGATTGATGAAGTCTTTTGGATGGAAGATGAAACGTTTCAACAAAAACAAAACATCCAGAGGACATAACTTAACTTTGTTGGATTTTTCTACCTGGATTATTGAGCATGAACTTTGATATTTACAACATACCGTTTGAATAAACTGTTATGAATCATTTGAGATTGAAGACATTAGAAGGCCGTCGGATTCCCCTTTATGCTTGGTCTTACTCAGACTACCCACTATTATGTCAGATGGATCAAAGCTAAATTGCATATATATAT